ACACTCTAATAAGAGGCAGAACAAATGGAAATGTAGTCAAACGCTGGCCCTATACTCAACTTCCTTCGTCTAGCAGTATACTCATTGGTTCCTTATTAGTTTCTGGTTATACTGATGCAATTAACAAGCCAGCCTCATATTCCATAAATAACTTCCTACAACTATATAAATTCAAAACATACAGTGGGTTCTCCACGTGGACAACTAGTATATACAGGTTGTTTCAAAACAACACACCAGATATTTTCGAAGGCAAGGATTTGTTGGTAAGCAAAGCGTATGAAAGAATAGACACTTCTATTCTGTTATTTAAGAACGCTGTTTCAACTAGAGTACTTATTATTTTTGACTCCTGATAAAGGCTGAGGTCATTTGCATCGATTTACGCCCTTCTGATCCTCAAAAATATAACGTCGCCTGAAACAAGATCATGAATGGCGATTAGATACAGATTAAAAATGAAATTGTCGTGGCCTATTTAAATGGAATTCACTTCGAGGTACTGGCAACACTGATGCAAGTATAAGCCTGTTTCAGGATATAAGTCATCCGATACAGATCTGAGCTAGACATCTCCTCAATATGGAGCCTAGGATATTACAGCAGACATAATCACACGTATGTAAAGACAGAACATAACTCTGAGGCTTCACTTCACACCCACCGCTCTACATACTGAAGTTTGTATTGTTTACTGAGAGATGTATAGCACATCCATTGACAAACGGTCTGACTCGCGTAGCAATGTAATTTTCGTACACTATAGGCCTATACAGCTGCACTAAAGAATATTTACCACATTCAAAGCTGAACTATGCTTGTTTCTTGCTAATTGCTGGTTTGGCTTACTTTTCCACCCTAAAGATGGAGGCAGTACGTTCCTCCGAAGTGTCTGCAAACTTCTGCCAGACTACACGGCGTCGCACCCCAGAAGACATGCAGACACAGCCGTGAGAACCTCAAATCCAACAACCTTAAGTTAATTCTTTGTTTCTGAAGATTGTATCCTGACCTTGTTATAACTGCTTTCACACTAACTTGCTTTTAACACTGTACTGTTCAAATGAGGCTTCTTGCAAATCTTCGTAGCAAGCTCATTTTTTACGGTGAGGAGTTGTTAGACCCACGCCCAACCCCCAAGCTTGAGGATCACCCCTTGTCGGCTGTCCGCGACCGCCTATTCAATATATTCGCAGCTACCCTCCATACCTTGAGGGAATCTCCTTCATCCGCAGCCTGAGGAGGCGCCATGTCGTGGTGACAAGGAGCCTCCCCCTAACGGGGTGCTGAGGAGAATATCTGGACCGAAGAGGGATGAAGTGACAGGAGGCTGGAGAAAACTGCATAATGAGGAGCTTCATAACTTGTTCCCTTCTCCAAGTATAATTAGAATGATCAAGTAAAGGGGGATGAGATGGGCAGGGCATGCAGCACGAAAGGTTGAGAGGAGGAATGCATACAGGATATCGGTGGGAAAGCCGGAAGGAAGGAGACCACCGGGAAGACCAAGATGTATGTGGGTGAACAATATTAAAATGGATCTTAAGAGAGATAGGATGGGATGGTATGGATGAATAGATCTGGCTCACGATAGGGACCAGTGGAGGGCTCTTGTGAACATGGTAATGAATCTTCGGGTTCCATAAATGCTGGGAAATTCTTGAGCTGCTTCAGAATTGGCGGCTGCTCAAGAAGGGCTCAGCTCCATGAGTGAGTGACATACCCAATGACAACAGAGGAGTCTAAAATGCACAGCTTTAAACGCAATAAAGCCTGTTGCAGATTTGTCGTACTTCGAGACTGGATGTATCACGAGCCAAACGCCGACATGTAAACACCATCCAAACTAGGATGAACTGTGACAGCGTCGCTGAATAAACAGATTATAGCCCTAAATCACAAGAAAAATGTGTTACCGGAAAATATTCATGGAATTTCAAAAGAAGCCAGGTGATCTGTGGTTCAAGGGTGTGTATACCCAGATAATTACAGCCTTCTGCATCTAAGTACCAAATGGCGAACCATTATCGCCCTTCAACTGCCGCAGCCGTCGTTATGCCCTGGAGGGCAGAACACAATAAGCATAACAATGGAGACCAAGCCACGATCGACAAGGTATCCACTTTTGAAAAACGTCAACAATTCGGCAAATTGTGTATTTGTCCAATAAATATTATTACTTGCTCTGAACACGATGTGCAGTCTGCTGATATCATTGAGAAAGTATACTGCTTATGAAATACACGCAATGGAGTGTTTCAATACCAAGTCTGTCAGTAAGATACGGGCTGGACGACCGGGGTTCCATTCTTGGCAGAGTCACAGATTTTTCTCTTTGCCACATTTCTCAGACGGTCTCTGGGTCCCACCCCAGCCTCCCGGCCACTAACCAACTGAAGGTAAGGCGAATGGGGAGTGAAGCTGACCACTAACTTGTGTCTAGTGCTGAGGGAAAGAATAAGTGGAGCTATACTTCTACTTCCATTCGTCATGGTGCCGCAATTAATTATGCAAGGAGGCAAATTTACTGTTACCAAGTTAGCCATATGACTTATATAGGCCTATACGGTTATCTAGATTCGATTCTCGGGAGGAGAGACATTTTTCTTCGCCACTGTGTCCAGGTCGGCATTGCAGTGCACCCAGTTACCTATCCGGTGGATACAGGGAACTATTTAGGGGGGTTAAAGTGGCCGGGAGTTGAAGCAAGCCCCTCACCTCCACCTTGTGCCAAAGGTCTTGGCAGCACACAGATAACATTACCTTTTAAGTTCCAAAAAAGGTACGCACTGTGAATCCTCGAACCACAGACTACAGCCCGCTGTTCTTTAACACATGACACAGACAAGTATTGCTCAACAACACAGGCCCTGCAGCAAAAACTGCTATCTATGAAATGCTGTGTCCTTCAAATTTGGACTTCCTCACAAAGTTGGCAGTCACTCATCCGTTCAAGAAATTTCCCGCTCTTATGCGTCACAAAGGTTAATTTCCATGTTCACAAAAGTCTGACACTGGATCCTATCCTGAGTCAGCTGAACATAATGTAACACGTGGTTAATTCAAAGCATCGTGCTCTACAACGAACAGCAACAAAGTATAACAATGTGGAAATTCATTCAGGCGTATGTTAAAAAATTATCAGCTCTAATCTAGTACTGATTTACATATCGAAAGATTTCCTTTCAATTTTGTACATGTGCCTCAGGGTCGGAATTAATACGGGTTATGCCACATGCAGAAAAATTCTACTCACTTCTCAAATGTTGCTCAGAGAAATTATTGCAACATAAAAGAAATGTCATTAAATACTGTGGGAACTGAAACTAAATAATAATTATAATAAACATGGAAGGGAATAATAGTAACTTTTAAAACAAATGGAACCTTCTCATTCATTCTTCTTTATTTTACCATAAATAATAATAATAACATATTATTGCAATTTGCGTTGCGCTAAAGTTTGGAAAATTATCATTAATTTAAAATGCTTAGTTACGTTTTAGAATGTAAATGAATAGGTAGAATACCTAAATAGCTCTGTCGGTATAGGTACAGGCTAAGGGCTGGACAGCTGGGGGTTTCGATTCGCGACAGAGTAAGAGCTCTTTCTCTGCTCCGCAGCGTCCAGACTGGCTCTGAGGCCAACCCAGCCTCTTGTCCAATGGGTACCGGGGGCTCTCTCCCAGGGGCGTGAAGCTGACCACTCACCTCCACCTAATTCCAAAGTCAAGAACGGTGGAACTATACCTCCACTCGCCCATATGCCTCCATGGCATAGTGCTTAATTAGTTAAGCATGGGGACAACTTTACCTTTAAATTGATAGCAACAATGCATGTTTTATTTACAATTCACAACTGCGGGATCGCTCATACAGCATATATACTATGAAAAATTGACCACAAAAAATGGAAAATCTCAGTATTATTAACTGTCCGAAAGTACTATATACATCAAGTGGCTGGCTTTTTGATATACTTCAATTCTCTTAACTTGTAACGACACCGACAGGAAACGGGGCATCAGCGGACCGACAAAATATTCCCAAATGTGTTTTAACATATATGTTCACATCACACGCACCGGCCGGTCAAGGCCTGCCGATGTTTGTCGGTCTCAGAGAGATCTCTAGGTAACGCTGAATACAACCGCCTGCGATGGTCAGATAAGTGTCCAATATGTGCAGGTCAATGTGAATACTCGAGCAAACTGTCGGTCCGCTGATGATCCGTTCTCTGCCCATGTGTCACGTAGAGTAGGAATGGGCCTTAACCCTAAATGAACATGATCCGAAACAAAGTGAAGGGTGGTAGTCGTATGGTGAAAATAATGGGGTGCACTAGTTGTATAAAGTAGCTCTTTGGCATTTCAAATCACAGTTGAACCTTGGATCAAGTGTAAGCTAGAAGCATACAATATTCACATCTACGTTAAACTTAACAATTGTGCCTTGGCTTAACATCCGTGAATGCATTTCCTAACACTTTCACGTGCAGTTAACTCTAGTGACGCGTCTGAACACTAGGAAAGCTGGTTCAGGTTAACTTGTGTAGCGGAGATGCCCGATTCGACCCACTGTCCTGACTGTGGGATATTTCATGATTTACCTCAGTCCCTCTACGCAAATGCCTGAATAGTACCTATAATTAGGTGGTGACTGGTTTCTTCCACGCCCTTTCCAAATCACCATTCGCTAATCACCCTACCATTCCACGCTATACAGTTCCAGTTTCTAGAAGTGTCGTTTTATTAACCGTAAACAAATAAAACACGTAGTTCAACATGAAACACGACGTCTTATATATACGTCATCAATGCGGCTGCTTTTACGGTATATAAGGTTAAGCGTACTAGATTCCGGCACGTATTAATTGCTAGAATATAAGATCTGATAAGGACAAACTTGTCAAGCTTAACGTACATAATTATTAATTTAGTTTTGTATGTGCCGGCATCTTTGTTTCTTAAAAAAATACTCATGGCCATGAAAATACTTACCTTGATTCAAATGATGATCTTATTATCCCTGGTACTTGAGTATTTCTCACCGTTGAGTCAAATATTATCGATCTCCTTCATAAATAAAAGAATCTGCACTGAATCTAAATTCTAAACTTTTTCAGAGATAGCACCAACACACTAATTACACACACGAAAGATACCACAACATAACACAATCACTAAAAAAAAAGGACAGAGAACTACCAAGCTCGGAATTAATGAACACATGCAATTCTTACTGCGCTTTGCCACGTCACGTGGTGTTGGGCGCGTTTTGGAACCCGTGAAGAGGTCAAACGGCTTTGATTTATGACTGCTACATGCAATTCCAATTAATACATATAAATCGTCTCGAAAATTAATTCGAAAATAAAGTACGCCTTCAACATGAACTTGTGAAACAATCTTCTTACCTCGTCTGCTTTTGACTCGCTAGTAATACTCTGCTTTCTGCATTCTGTATCAATAGGCGGCGCCATTATTTTGAAACATCTTTGTCAAACTTCCGATCACGCGCACACTCAAACATTCGCAATACAACAAAACGCATCTGAACATACTCGCGTCCTAGCTAGTTCTACAGGTGCTCTACATGCGTTCCATTGGCATCACAAGGCCAAACTCACCTAAGGCTTATGCAACTTGTACGGACTCTGTTGGAGGAACGCGAAACTGCTTCTTCCAACCATGAGTCGAGTCTTGCATAATCGACTCTGCATGAAAATCGTAGAACTGATACGTTCGACCGGGGGCTGAGTTTCGCATAATCGACATCACATACAGCAATCAGTGTAAATCAGTGACAGACAGTGATTTATTTTGCAGCTGTTTCAAGATGTCCTCCATGTATAGAAAAGGAGGCAACAAAATTGTTTACATGTAGCAATTTTTCTATGTAGTACTTAGGCTGTTGTAGCGAAATATGTACGATATCAATTGGATATTTCCAGCATTGAAACAACCATCTCGGCTCTGGAATTTAGCGAGTTCAATTACGTTTGCAGCAGTTGGAATTTTTAGCAAAATTATCATAGGTTAGTATAAAAAGTGAAAGTCATGAATACATTGCAAAATACATAATTTGTGTCAAGGCTGTTGGTTTCATATTACCACCCAGTATTTTAAGCTATGGTAAATTTAACCTAGATGGCCATGAATAAGAATTTCAGTCCGAAGACGGTTTCTTTGCTCTGTATATACCTAATTAAGTTTTGTCAAATATATTTTTCGTTGTGCAAATTTTAAATGAAGAGTAGAGGCGCCGTTTGACACCTGTTTTAATATATTTTGCCCATTGGTGTGATATTTCATTTTGACCTCATAAAGCACAATGATTAGCATGGCTCACAATATACGGTATTATTTCCCAGAAAGACATTGACTGATTGGTGTTTGTAACAGGGGTGTAGTGCGTTTTCTGTAATGGAACTGAATTTTTTTGTTTTATTTAAATTAGATTCCTATTTCAGAGAGTCAATACTGGAATATTTATAACGCATGTACCAATTTCCATGGGAAATTTTAAATGTTTGACATATAAATGAACATGAACTGTATGCCTGCTTTATTGATTTATGCTGTCAGAAAATAGAGCTGAAATTTGTGTGTTATGAATGTGATATACTGGAATATCATAACATTTCTCAGCACTTGTATAAGTTGTATATTTAAAGTAACAGTTCTCCATATAAGAAGTGGGAACAGTACTGAACCAATACATCATCTCTGGTATAATGCTCAGATGTGTGAAGGATGTAATAATTTTATCAACACTTGATTTGAAATACATATTATGCTAGCAGCATTTATCTTTCCTATATGTGATGTTGTGTCCAATAAGTTAGGCTCAGTGGTGAGTTTATAAAATAAATTCTGGAGGCAAACTATGACATTGGATTGCAAGAAATATAATAAATTTCTTATGGTTGTATAACTTAGAAATCGCCATGACATTGGATTCATCAACCTGTTTTCCAACTTTCCAACTTAGAAAATTTAGCATCATTAAAATTACTTCAGATTATAGTATCTTCACAATATCATAGTCTTATTTGGAGGCAAACCTTCATTAGATCAAATTTTGGCAGATCTGCTTGTTATGATTCAGCCAGTATTGCTAGTAACAGTGTTTGTCATCAAACAAAACATGAAGCAAGATTTAATTTCAGCTTTGCTTTGCAGAAAATGTAAAATTTGCTTGGAAAATACCCATACATTTGTAATAATAGATAATGAGTGATAAATTTATTGTAATATGCATATTTCAGAATGGCTGAATACAACAAATGTGTATAACAAAGATATTTTAGTCAAAGCCCTGGACCACAGACCACATAATGTTCCACTCATCACTGTGTCTAATCATCATTCTTGCTTTGATGATCCAGGATTATGGGGTAATTACATGTGATTTATTACACTGATGTTTAAGCTACCTGTAACTTGAAAGTAACACATTAACATAATTTTGTCTAAAATCTACTTTTCTAGCTTGTCTGAGCCTTAAACACGTCTGCAGTCGCAAGAAGATGAGATGGTCACTAGCAGCCCATGATATTTGTTTTACAAATGTTTTCCATTCATACTTCTTCATGCTTGGCAAATGTGTACCGGTTATCAGGGGAAATGGGGTTTACCAGGTAAGTGACGTGATTTTACAGTTACTCCAACAAGTAAAAAATTAAACCTTAGAATACTGTTTGCACGTTACATTCCAGTGTCTCATATTTCAAAGGAGTGATGCTGATATTAACACATTGGTGACCAGCCATACTGCTCAGTTGCATCCCCATGTACTGAGCAATTTAAACCTGCTTTTATAAACGCTTATTTGTAACACAGCGAAAGTGAAAAGCAAGTGAGGAAATACTGCATACACATCTATAAGGCTTCTACTCTGTGATCAAGAACTAAGAATATTTGAGGTTTTCACGGCGGTGACTATGAAGAAAGCAGTCTTATGGGATTTGGCACCGTGTATATGTGGTGTTAACCTACGTTTCGGAGGAACGTATCGCCTCCATCTTCAGGGTAGAAGGGAAAATATAAGAAATTCTGCTTTTACCGGTTCTCACGGTCTCTTTGCTTGCGGATTTTTTATATTTTTCCTTATACCCTGAAGATGTAGGCGATACGTTCCTCCGAAACGTCGGTTAACACCACATATACACGGTGCCAAATCCCAGAAGACTGCTTTCTTCAAGAACTAAGAAGTTACAACTCTTACATACATATTGCATCAGCTAACAGAAACTCGATGTGTGTGTGTGAAAACAAGAATTCCCAGGTCCTGACATCTGCCAATAGCCAACGGAAGTATGAGGATTCTTGTGAACCATCACCAACATGTTAAGGGTTGGCGATAATTTATTGACATGAAAGGCATACATCACTCTACACCTCATTCTAGATCTAGTGGCAATTCAACATTTCCATAATCTTTATGTGTGCCATGTCTGTAAAGGCTCTAGTTCAAGTAGTCAGAGTTATGCAGCAAAGAGATCAATGGATTTGATGTCCATGTTCCTAAGGTCTATTATATGATGAGCTGCTTCTCCACATTTATAAATTTTGATAGACAGTGGAAGAAGAAAACAATGGACAGTTCACAAGTGAAGCAAATAATACTTAATTCAGTATATCCATATGTGTGTGTACATACTGAAATGAGCTTAAATTGCATTGTCTCTATATTATTAACATACGTAATTTTATTCCATTGCAGAAAGCCATTGACTTTTGCATAGAGCAGTTACGTAAAGGTCAGTGGGTTCATGTGTTTCCTGAGGGACGAGTCAATATGACCAAAGAATTTTTGAGGCTGAAGTGGGGGATTGGACGACTAATTTATGAATCACCTGTGATGCCCATTATTATACCAATGTGGCATATTGGTATGGATAACATCCTTCCCAATGAACCTCCCTATTATCTTCGGATACGTAACAAGGTTACTCTTAACTTCGGCAAACCAATTGATTTTGGAAACATGTTGGAGCAGCTAAGATCAAAAAATGTATCAGCACAGGAAGCTAGGAAAACTATTACAGATAAAATTCAAGATGAACTAATGTCTTTGAAGGCTGAAACAGAGCAGCTGCATCTAATTAGCTTGCGTTCTTGATACAGGACCTTCCCTCGAAAGCATTCAGACTAACAGGGATGCTGGGAATTCGAGGATAATTCACAAAGAAATTAAGGGAAATCAGCATGAGTTATGGAGGACAGATGAATGTTTAGTGTTTGTGTGTACTGTTGTAACCATTCCACTGTCAGTGTTAAGTTCAGTGCAACCCTGTCTTAGGACTTAAGATTACCATAATTTGGTCTTTATGGAAATTTGTGTAAGTATTACAATTTTTTAAACACAAAAATCAAAACAACAAATTCTACCAAAACTATTGCCTTAAGTGATGATTATTTGTTACAAAATTTGGATCTCATATGCACATGCATTAGTGGCATAAAGGGATGGCAAGTGTTGTGTTTGCTATTCCCAGCTTATTTTAATTTGTGCCCTGTATTACCCTTACTTAAGTAATAAAGTTTAATACAACCCTGAACCAAAATAATTTCCATGGAAATGCATATCGATTGTTGAAAGATATGATTCATATTATAAAATCTCATGATACTCATTTTCCAGAACATGGACCTTTTCTAAAGGAGGGGTAAAAAGGTAAAAGAAGGGGGGGGGACTATCCCTGTAACAGGCTGTGGAAGCCTGTTACAGGGTCAAGGCTCCACATTTTCTAGACAGTTGGCTCACAGATGGTGGTGAGGTTATCACGTGCCAGCCACTCTTTACCCCTGGGAACATTCCTGGCACTCATTTCTGTTAGAGGCTGAGTCAACCCCAGGACCATAGTGCAGCTGGAAGGATTATGCCAATTGAAAAAATCCAATTACCACATCAGGAATCAAACCTGCAAGTAAAGAAGGGGTATGCTGTAGTAATACAATTTTTTACAAACAATTCCTTGTTCTAGGATTTTTCAAACACATATTCTCTGTTACAAGCAAAACTTTCTTTCTACCAGGAGCCTGTCTCATCTTATTCTGAATCGAATTTCCTGCCGAGACTGAATTGGGCATTAGTTTCTTTCATGTCTCTTAATAGAATGAAGAATGTGCATGAAACATGACTGTCAGCCCTTCATTTAATAAATACTGAAGATACTGTTTAATACTCTTTTTACATTTAACTATGTATATATTAGTGGCAAATGAATATGCTGACGGTACCATTTGCCCTTATGTGTAAAATATATTTTGAAATGCTATTTATTGGATATCACTGTGCAATAAAACGTTTATTTGTGGTCACCTTCTCTGAAATTTTGTAAACATTGTAAGTTAGGCAAGTGCATTTGAAATGTTAAATGTATGAATGAGTAAAAGTAATGTAATATCGTTCCATTAATGAGTTATAAATCTGTTTATATGAACCATTTCATTTCAGTGCCAAGTGGTAGTACTGAAATCAAACAAATCAACTCTAATTTATTTCTTTTGTACATTTAAGTATCTGTACTTCTAACCATTTATTTTTATTTGGTTTTTTATAATATACCATTTTAAAAGGTAACTATATATTAATAACTTTCATTCAATATCATATGAAGTCTTACACCTTTCCCATACATGTGAATGTTTATATATATATATATAATATACAGGGTGTAAATAAATATATGTTACAACACTCTGTGGTAGATAGATGGGTTCAATGTGATGTATTTTAATACACCCATGTCCGGAAACACTTTGTTTACATGCTAGGGCCTCTGGAATGTGAAGGACACACCTCTTACCTCTGTGGCTTACTGGTGACAAGTTACCCAACATTTCTCCAAGAGACTTTACCTGAGCTGCTGGAAATGGTGCCTTTGGAAGTCAATCGTGAAATGTGGGTCCAGCATGATAGCGCCCCAGCACACGGCACTAATGTGAACCATGAGTATTTGGATGGAACCTTTGGCAATAGATGGATTGGACATGAAGGCCCCCTTGCTCCTCTGACTTGACTCTACTGATTTCTTTCTCTGGGGGTACATGCAAAGCCTGGTGTATGAGACTCCAGTGGAGGCAACATGATCTTGCGGCAAGAACTGCAATAGCAGCTGGAACCATCCAGGAAACGACAGGAATCTTTCAAAGAGTTCAGCATAACATGGCGCAGCGGTGCAGAACATACAATGAAGTTGGCAGCCGCCATTTTGAGCAACTTTTAAATGTAAAACAATGATAACATCCCTTAAAGCTTATGCATCCTCTCAGAAACTTTGTGGCCCTTAGTGGCAAAAGGAAGTGTTTCCGGGTATTGGTGTAGTAAAAAAAATATGATCAGATTGAACCCATCCATCTACCACAGAGCGCTGTAATGTGTATTTATTTACACCCTGTATGTGTGTGTGTGTGTGTGTATATTATATATGAATCATCAGTACTGTGAAGTTCTCTTTTTCACATCGTGAGCGACATGCATTCAGAGTTGGAATTACGGCTTAGCTGTAACATAGGGATGGCTCTTGCTAACATGATTTTAAAAGATACTTGGACATAGGGAAACCAGTGTATTTCCAAGAAGTTTTGGAAATGATAAGATGTATATTTTTCACAAATAAAAATGATCCTTGTTCCTGAATTTAAGTGATGTGTTCAATATGTGGGCATGTGCACTTCTCTTAGGCTGTAGATGGGTCACCAAGAATTAAAATTGCTTTTATTAATATCACCCATGAATACATAGTAGAACTAATGAATATTAGCTTTCAGTGTTTGAGTAATCTAGTATGTAACATCTTTACTATTTAACCCATTTGTTGACATACAACCTGAAGGGTAATAAAAAAAGAAAAGTTGGATTGAAGTTTCTATAGCATCTTAAGGAAATCCTGGGGAATTTAAGTGCTAGGATCGATAGTTTTAATATTTATATATCACTGTATTTAATTTCATTGTTTGTAGATCATACCATACGTACGTAATTAAAATTTTACTTAGAGAAATGCTTGAAATATAAACTGTTGCGTTTTTTGTTAGGACAGGTCTCCATTGAGTAGATCAGATCAGCATTTAAACAGCCAATAAAGGGAGCAATATGGAAGTCTAAAAACTGGGGGCAGGATTCCTCCATTATAATCTCTAGTCCACATATGTGCTTCCTGATGATTGGCAGCAGTATCAGGCTCATATAACCCCATTAATTTACATTAATCCCAAAGGTATTAAATGTTAGATGTCATTAAGAGGTGTTACAATCATTTTCACAGATTTCATTGCATCACAGCTCAAGACAGTGTAACATCTTAATAAAATTTAAAGAGTCAAGTAATTCCACTACTACTTAGGGCTTTCAAAAATTGTAACAGATGGGAATTGATAATGAAAAATTTCATTTCAAAAGAATAATGTGGTTTATGTACCTCCAATTGAACTGTCTAGCCCCTGCAAAGACCAACATATTTTCATCCTTACTGCACTCAAAAATTTATTTTCAGAAAATGTCACTCATTTATAGAAATTATAGCCTACATTAATATTGTGTAGTTCAAAGATCCAAGAAAAAATGTATGGAATTTTATTGGTTCTTTTCTTTGCTACACGTAAGATAGATATAGTAGTCAGTTTTTTTTATTTTTGTATAACATATCTTATTCACTGTAACAGTCTGGAAATACAAGCAAGGTATACATTTAAGATGAATTTTAGGTCTTTGTTTTGAAATAAAGTGTGATTCTCTTTCAGCCTTAAGATTATTTTATACAAAAGCCAGCATTAGCTTCAAAGATGCCACCTTCAGAGCCAGTGCTCATCTTCCATGCATTCCTTATAAGAACGGAAAGTTAATTTACTTACTCAGAAGACAACTGACAATATACATTTGATCCTAGGCCCAGTAAGTACCAGTCAGAAACAGTCTACAAGCGACAATAAGCATCTTTCATCGTGACGCACTGCAAACTGTTGTTAACAAGCAGCAGTAGTAGGATTACAGGCACATCAGGTCCTGAGGTTATCAGAGCCTTGTTGTAATAAGCTGACATGAAACGAAGAGAGATTATTTAAGTAATATCAAGTATAAAAATGTGAGTGTTGTATTTTAGTACTCCTGAAATGAATACAAGTAAATAGAACAGTAAGGTAAAAAAGTAAAGTTCTCCCTGTGATTAACTAATTAAGCACTACAACATGAAGGCATATGGGGAGTGGATGTATAGATCCATATTTTCTTTACCTCAGCATTAGTTCAATGTGAGTGGTCAGCTTCACGCCCCGGCCGCTTTACCCACAGGGAAAGAGCCCCTGGTACCCACTGGATAGGTTGGGTGAACCCTAGAGCCGGTCCGGACAACGTGGAGAAGAGAAAATTCTTGACCCTACCATGACTCAAACTCCAAGCCCTTGGTCGTCCAGCCCATAGCCAGTTGCTATCCCAGTTCCAAATAGAACAGAATGTACTCATAATATTAAGTTTGGTCCATCTGAAGTATATATATATAAGTGGATGTGAGCTTGGAGCCAATAAACCAGTCATCAGATTTTATGCAAAAAATATGTTGTTGGTATATATATATATATATCTTTGAAAATATGTTTGGAATGTCATAATCTGTAAATTACATCAGTGCCTGAATAGTTAGTGAATTTTGATATTTATAAATGTTTCATCCTACATAGTTACTATGCGAACATGAACCTTGCAGCTTAAAAGTAATGAACATTTTACATGAAGAGAAACACTAAATAGAGATATTTAAACATCTCCAACTTTAATTAAATTTCATTTAAAGGGAACACTGGGGACACAAGGTAGTGTAGTTGATTGAGGCACTATGCTACAAGCTGGAAGGTCAGAGGATCAATTCCTCATAGTGTCATTGGATTTTTCAATTGACTTAATCATTCCAACCACATTATGGTCTTGGGGTTGACTCAGCCTCTAACAGAAATGGGTACCAGAAATCGTTCTGGTGGTAATGGCGGCTGGCTTGTAAGACTGACAACCTCTCTGTGAGCCAATCATCTAGAAAATCTGAGAGGCTTGACACGTCACTACCATGTGGGCCTCCACAACCCGTTACAGAGATAGCTTTACTTTTAATGAGAAAGCTTTCCCCAATAAAGCACGTCATGTGTCCCCAAAAATTTACTGGGGGGTATACAGCATCCAAAATTATTTCTGGGAGCACGTACACCAGATACAACAAAGTCTGTATGATGAATTTTGGCATAAAGTGACTACCTTCAAGACAGATGCAACACATTCCTCTGAATCACTGCTAAAATTCTACCAAACTACACGAGATCAGTTTCTACCATTGGTAGAGATTTTCTATCCTCAACAAATCTAGACCAGTTCTGGGGACCACATACCTCCTATCCAGTAAGTACCAGCAACTCTCCATGAAGATGAACTGGCCATGTAATGCTGAAATTACGAATGTGTCTAGCTTTATCTCCACTCCCCACATTTTTTAATTGTGTAGAGCTCAGGCACAGGGATAACTCTATCTTTACTGAGTAATGAAGGCAGATTGCAACTTCCCCACTTTACCTGCCAGCAGTGTGGGTTGCCTCTATTCCTATTCTCCCACTCTTCTGCCACCATCTGCCTTTAGGACTCTTGACAGTATCTCTTTATGGGCTGAATCATGGAATCACAATTCTTGATAAAGGCTGCTGAGCATCCTTTTCATGCAACCCTTGCATGAAATTGTCATAGGCACTTAC